GATAAGTCTTTCAAGCTAAGTGATACATCACGCCATTGGTTTTCTAAGAAATGTCATCTGAGGGTAATGAAGATTCCAGTAGATAAGTTGCATGGGAATCTGATATAAATAAAATATGATATTACTTTTCAAAGATAGGTTTCCTAGCTTTTAGGATATTTTTATTCCATAATTTTTCTCTAGCTGCTGCCTTTTGTTAGTGTCTTTATATCAGCTTTGTAAGAGCAGAGAGACAGGGTAACAGAGAACATCAAAATGCTATGCTAAGTTCCTAGTACTCATAAACATGACTATCAAGTACTATTCAGTATTTACGATGTGTCAGGAGCTATAACAAGCACAGCTATGTGCATTGTGTAATACTCATTAAAACCCTACATCAACCCTGCAAGCTTAAATTGGGGGTATTAAAATTTGGCAACAGGGGTAAGCTGTCACAATTACATAATTCCTGCTGATTTCTCATTCTTTGTGTTTAAAAAGAATATATGGTAAGAGTAAAGGTGGAAAGAAATGGGCCCAATTGAGAAGTTGAGTTTATTTTTGCAGTTGTTTATTCCAAAAATAATCTTCCTGTTCACGGGTTCAAGGGACACCCTGCCAACAGACATAGTACTATACTTCAAGTAGTTTTTTCTTGTCTAGTGTGTTTTGCTGCACAGTTGAGAAATTAATAAAGGTTTCAAAGCTAACGCTCATGCATGTTCTGAGAATATTTAGGAACATGTAGGAAAATTTAAGTCCTAATCATTTAATGAGTTAGAAATATAAATAAAATTTACAGCCTGTGATCAGAGTTAAATTGGTATGAGCATGCAACAATAAGAGAAAACTGGATTGACCACTTTGACACTTAACTATTCTTGGAGAAATTCCTGATTTTTGAAGAGGCAACACTTGAACTGAGTGTTGAAAGATGGGGAAGAGTTGACCAATTGTATTTTTAATGGTACATTAAAAAATATGGAGCCTGTGGCCACTGTGGCCCCCACAAGCAGCAGCCAAAAGCAAACGCATTACAAAGCTCCAACAGCAGCAACCAAGCAACCAGACTTGGACCATCACAACTCCCTGGACATTTTCTATTCCCTAGACTTTAAAGGTCCCGAGATGACAAAGCATGAACTTGCTTTATGCATATTTGATGGGAGTTTGATGTCAGTGAATTCAGAAGTACCAAGAATGAAGGAAGCTTGACGACTCCTGTTCTGAAGTACTGGGGGCCTCATCATCTTCATTTTTTTCAAATTCTATTTCTTTGTTGAATGAGAACCATCATAGCAGTTCCATCCCTCTGAGCAGTTAATAGTTCCTTCTCAGATCGTTAAATAGGGATTACCCTCTTTCTGCCCTGTACCCCATCCTGCACTGCTTTTGAATTTTTGACAATACCATTAATCAGAACACCAAAGGAAGATCATTAATTACTCTTGAATTTCTGGGAAGTACTAATTTGAGTGAAAACCCTAAAGGATCTTTCAGCTCTTGTTTCTGTACACAGGAAATAATGGAAAAGAGTAAAATCAAGAGAAAAGCAGATTTTACTTTTCCACAAAGACTCGAGTGTGTATGAAACCCCAGATGGAAGTTCGCGGATGGTAGCCTGTCGATTTTGCAGCTGTCTCTCCACTGGTTCAGAAATGCCAACTGTGGGCAGGACCAGTGGAGAAAGAGACAGTATTAGAATATGAACTAAGTGAATTGTTTGGGAGTTGTCCTGCAATTACAACCACATCCTAGAAACTTGCATCAATCAAAGTGTTTGGGAATATACAGAGATGCAAGAGTAGGAAAAAATGTCCAAAGTCCTGCCCTGTAATGCTTAGACTTCCTTTGACAACTCTTGCATTCGAGAGGATAAAAAAGGGAGAAGGCCAGGAGATTAAGTGTGTACCCTAAGCAGTCCACTGGAGCACTTCCTGAGCTCCTTGAACTCTTTAAACAATCTATGAATGTTCTTGCAGAGACGAGCATGCTGGGAAGGAGTCCTTCCTGCCTGAAAGAAGTAATGTGGCCCCAGACTTCTGCTGCTTGCACTGCTCTCTATTTTCTGGGGATGGAAACTTGAGAGCCAATTAAGTAGGTTACTTACTGGGAGTCCTACTGAATTCCATTTCCTAAGTATGTAAGTGCCTACTATATTCCAGGCCAGGGAGGGAAGGGAAGGAAAGAGAGAAGAGGGAGGAGAGAGAGAGAGAGATTAGAGAGACACTGCAGTCTAGTAACAGTAGACACCTGTGGGCTGGGGTGGTGGTTGGATGAGGTGGTGGTATAGAAAGGGGAACAACTGGTAGACTGAGATTACTCTTCATCTTTTTAATTGTTTAAATTTCTTAAGAATGCATTTGTTATCACATATAAACTTAGAAACAAATGTAAAATAAACTATGTAAGAGAATGAAAGCTGAAAGATTAAATGAAAAATATTCATGTACGCATTCAGTGTAGTCCTTGGTGCCCAGTTGATAAACAATAGTGGTTTGTAGACATGAGGACTTGGAACTCAGAGAAAGTTCTGGTTTAGATGTGTGCACTTAGGAGTCCTTAGCATTGTACTTGTAACAAAAACCATAAGAGTTGATGAAATTACGTGAAGAAAAAATGTTGGGGAAAGAGGGCCTAGGATTGAACTTGAAGGAATTTCAACAGTTAAGGACCAAGAGGAAAAGAATGAATAATCATCAAAGGAGTCTTAGAAGGGACAGCCAGTAAGGCAGGAGGAAAATGCTGCCCATCTGATCAAGGTGATTGATAATCAGAAGAGGAGGTAAGCATGATGTTGTTGCAAGTCCTCATGAGGGAAAAACTGCAAAGTGAGCATTGGATAAGCTAAACTGAAGACTTGGGCCAGCTCCTGGGCTAAGCAGGCAACAGGCTTTGATCTCGGCTTTCTGGCTCTTTGTTTTAAATCAGAACTTGGCTTTTGTTGTGGAAACAGCCTCTCAGTTGATCATCCAGAAGTTGACTCTGATTCATATACAATCAAAAGATATAACTGATGTCATGGAGAAAAGACAGAAACTTTCATTATGTTTATTTCATTCTTTCTGTGCTGATTAATTTATAACCTTTATTTTTTTTAACAAAATGATATTTTTTCTTGAGTTATCATTCCACAGACAGCCACCCTTTTCCTAATTTTCATTTTTATGAAACTGGACACTTTTCCATTCATAGTTGGAAAAATGATGGTTGTCTGACTCTCTTAGGAGAGAGATAGAATCGCATATAACATTACAATAAAAACAGGTAGCAAAGCCACTTCATTTCAGATGACTGGAGAACTTCCAGAAGAACAGAGGGGTTTGATTCTATGCTGTTTTCCAATTATATAGCATTTACTTTAGGGCTCTCAAAATTGTGCTTTTTTTTAAAAAAAAAAAAGAGGAATAAAATAATTATTCTGAGCCACGCCATGGGAAGAGCGGGAAATGAAAGCCGTCAGTGAGATGTAATGAATCTGCAGTTGAGGATGTCATTCTGAAGAGCTCCAACCTCTGCTTAGAGTCTGAGCCAAGGATATTGAAGGCTAAGATGACTTACATCACCCCTCCTACTCTGTCAGTTCCTGACATAGTGGAGCGTGGGGTCAAGTTCAACATTCTGCACCATTACCTTCATACTGGTCCAGTTTTGAATTCCAGGGGAGTCATTTTCTTCTATGAACATCACTTTCCTGGTCTGTGAGTTGGAGATAACCATCTGCATACTCATGGGGGGTGAGCCATACTGCATAAATTAATGCAGGCAATGCTCTTGGCATGCAGGAGACACTCCCATTACACAGCTAAGATTCTTAAAACTGAGAGTTCCCCCTGTAGGATTGTCAATGTGTTCATGTCTGTCTGTCCTAAATTCATGTAGGAAATGCCTTTCTGTTTTCCCTAATTGGCTTCTCCCAAACTTCAACATTGCCTTTAGAAAGATCACAGGTATGATCCTCAGTCAATAAACTCAGCTATGCACAAGAACATTTTACTTTTGGTCAAACCCAACTTGATTTGTACTTTGAGAACTTATTTGTTCAAAGAAGGCAGGAATTGGATCCCAATCGATCTGAGACTCTCTCCTCACTCCTTTTCCTCTCCTTTGCCTGAGATTCCAAGTAAATGTGGGAATCATGCCAATGTCCAATCCTGGGAGAGAGGGACACTTGTTATTGTTTTTTTTGTTTGTTTTTTTGTTTTGTTTTGTTTTGTTTTGTTTTGTTTTTTTTTTTTGGCCCGCTACCCTCTAATGCCATTCCCAGGGAAACTTGTTCTTAACCGTGCAGGGAGTAGCTCTGAGGCCCGTGCTGTTACCTCGACCTGATTGTCCATCCTCATTAGTGGAGGAGGACAGCTGTTTTCATTTCAAGTTGAATGTGCTCTAGTGGCACGCCAGCCAGGACATGGGTCTTGAAAGCCGTGCTTTCTTTGCAGCTTTGTCTAGTTATTTTGTGTAGACTTTGAGCCACATAGTGCTCCTATAGTCGCTGGTTTTTAAACTATAATAATAAAAAAAAATACTTGCAGTTATTTCTGCCCTCCCAAACTGTCACATCCCCCATTTGTAGCAATGAAGGCAAAGCCAAGGACCTTCCTGGAGGAAGTAGAGAAAGGGGTCTGCCAGAGAGGGAGAGCCCACAGATCAGGGTTGCACATGGACTGCCCTGCCTCTCAGACATACAGATCTATCATGGAAGCTAAGGCTGTCACCCTGGGAGCATGCTGAGGTTCTACGTGGAAAATGAAATGTCATGCAGAATTTACCATGTATGTGCAGCTCAGCAGAAAGACATTTTAAAAGTGCAAGTTTTGTGTTTTTCTTGGAATGAACCATGACTGTATATACTGACTTAATGAATTTAAAAATCTCCCATTAGCAACACAGGAAGGCTGGTTACACAGCCCAGCAAGAAGTCTTGAAACTGACACACTTGTTATCAAAAAACACACTAAGCCCAAACACTGCACGTACTTTGGAAAAACAAACTCATTTTCTGTGCTGCTTGCGTTTTCACGGAGGACATGCATGTTAGCATTAGAAGACTTTTTTCTGGAGCCAATAATTCTGTAGAATTTATCAAGAGGGGAAAAATAAATGTCTGCCTTCACTCTTTACTGTTCTTTTTTATAAATATGGCTTGCCTATCATCTGTTTACTTTGTCCATTAAGAGTCTTTGAAGGAACATAATTCAGACTTTGGTTTGCAGAAAGGACAAAAGGGATGGGACACAGTATTTACCTACTCGACTGCAGCAGACCTTGGTGGCCATCTGGTGTGCCATGTTGTTGGGTAATTAACATGCTTCCACACTTCTATTTGGTTTCCTTTCTGAAGTGCATCTGAAAATGTGTGCTAACAGACTGCCTGCAACACAAAAGAGCCAATGTTAAAAAAGTGGTTCTATCTATCCCCTTTCAAAAAAAAAAAAAAAAAAGAAAAAACAATGAAAAAATACAGCCCAAACTTTGTTTTGCCACCAAAGGCAGAAGCTTCCCTGGGAGCTGCCAAAGACTCCAGCTCACAGACGGTACTGCTTGTTCGTTTTAGTCAGCACATTTGGTGAGCAACATTGTAGGCCCAATATTCCCCTTCCTTTCCATCCGGCTTGTCATCCAAGGCCTATGGGGGAATATTTACATGATCAAACGTTCATGGCCACAGAGGTGCAGCCTCATTCATGGATTCAATTGAATCTGGGATTGGTTCTCGGCGCTTAACAGCTTGAGTTTGTTTTGCCAAATTACTTTATCATAACTATAAATTCAAGTGAGTCAACCTATTGGATGGAGGCTCTGTGTATCTGTGTGCTGGCATTATAGACTCAATTTAATCTATAAGGGGGAGAAATTATTCTTCCTGGCACAAAGCCTTCCAGGAGAAATCAACAAATAGGTCACATAAACAAGTCTAAACAATTTCTTGCTGGAAGATTTTACTGTACAATATGTCAGGGCAATTGCTTCATGCAGAAAATATCTGGATGCATTTTAAGTCAACCTGAATGAGTAGATGAGAAAACTCAGGCTGTCATGATGAATTTAAGTGAAACTATTTATTACATAAATTAAAAAAATGCCAGTAAAAAAGGGCTGAGGGTAAATGAGGGAATAAAAAAAATTTTCATTGCAGAACATTAATCGCACAACATGAACCTTGAAAACTAAATTAGTGGCTTGATATTTGATATTTCCTTTTTAACAATGTAGAAAGATCAGCTTGATCTGGTTGGACACAAACCATCTTCTGATTTAAGAGCAAATACTGTTTTATATTTTAAATGGGGTTATATACAATGGAAGTGAAATATTCTCAAGGCATAATTATTGCCCCTTTGCATGGATGAGAAAACTGAGGTTCAGAATCATTAAATGACTTGTTCATATGTACTGTCTGCTTAGATTAAATGGAAATAGAATCTGTTAGTCCCTTCTCCCTCCTTTCTTTCTCCTCAAATTGTTGTGTGCCTGCTGTCAATCTGCTGTCAAGACAGTTAGTTGCCTGGGGTACTAAGAGGCAAATGACAACAAGATCAAAATTTGGTTATAGTTCACCTGAGAAGAAACAGAAAACAAAACAGAAGCATGCAGTTGTGGATATGGAGAGTCCTGGGGACAGATGAGGGCTCTAGGGTATGTGTGTGTGTGTGTGTGTGTGTGCGTGTTTGATGTGAAAGGGAAAAAATGGGTTGAAAAGGGGAAAAATGGATTTCAGGGGCCCACAGGAACAGAGAATTTCGTGGGCAATTGCTCTAAGTGAAATAAGATATCATTCTCGTGTTGCTGCTCTCCAACAGGCTCCTTTTAATCAATGAATTCAATTCTAATGGCACCAGAGAACAAGCCACAATTGGCGTTAATGTCTAGAATAACATTTATCTCGTTGAGACCTTGTCCCATCTCCAGCTAAGAAGGCAATTCTGAGTTCAAGTTAAAGATGCTTGTGCCATACCCCAGGAAAACCTGAATGTGCATAAAATGCCACTCAGCAAAATGTTTGATCCTTCCAATCCTCCCAAATACTATTTAAATCCCAGAGAAATAAACCCTATCTTAAAAGCTATCATAGAAAGAAATTTTAGATCCTTTTCCCTGGAAGTGGTAATATATTTTACTGTACAGTTGTGAAGAAATTCACAGGTAGAACTTTAAATCTCTGCCTCTGATTTACCCATTTCATCTTTGCTTGACTTAGCTAAGAATACAGCTGGTTCATATATGATAAAATGCTTGCTGTTTTCATCCACATTAATTACCTTCAATTTATAAAGCGGCTCTATTTTTAAGGATATTTTATATGTATTATATTAAATATTTTATGTATTACATATAATATAGATTTTTCAAATATCCTTATTCATTCACTTGAAAACAGCAGTATAGAGAAAACAGATTGATTCAGATGCAGAGCCAGGTCTAGAACCCAGGTACTCTGACGCAGGATGTGGGCATCCCAAGTGACATCTTAATTACTGTGCCAAATGCCCACGGTTGAGAGGAGAGTCTTACTGAAGCTCACCATAACTGTGGCTGGCATAGTGTCCTAACATTGTGTCCTAGTGTTAAGCAGCAGCCTGCAACGCCAGTATCCCATATGGGAACCAGCTTGAGTCCCGGCTGCTCCCCTTCCGATCCAGTTCCCTGCCTGGGAAAGCAGCAGAAGATGGCCCAGGCACTTGGGCCCCTGCCACCCACGTGGGAGGGCTTGGATGAAGCTTCTGGCTCCTGGCTTTGGCCTGGCCCAGTCTGGGCTGTCGCAGCCATTTGACAAGTGAACCAACAGATGGAAGCTCTCTCTCTCTCTCTCTCTTTCTTTCTTCTCTCTCTCCCTGTGACTCTGACTCTCTGACTTCAAACTAAATAAAATAAAGCTTTAAAAAAGCATAAAGAAACTCACCATGGAAAGAGATGAAGCCTACTTTGCTCTGTTTGCGGTGGGGTTAGAAGCTCTGGGTGACATCCGGCTCCTCTCTCTCGGACAAAAACACCTCTTCCTCCAATCCAGAAATCCTAGAACTACAGGGCATGGGCAGGTCAGACAGTGGGGGCTGCGAAAGCTTCATATTTCATCTAACCTGAGTTCTTCATGGCACAGAGAGGCTTTACGATGTGTCTGAGGCTAAGAGCAGAGTTGGCCTAAACCTGGGGTTTTTTGGTTTTATTTGTTTTGTTGTGTTTATGTTGTTGTTGTTGTTATGTTTTGCAGTGTATTTTTACAGCTTAGTTTTTCAATGACTGTAGCATTAAGAATCTACTTATCTATAGTTTCTAATTTGTCTTCCTTAGCCTTTCTTATGCCAATTAGTTCTATCAGCAATCTATTTAATAAAGTGCAGCCTACATTTCTATGGACATAAGCGTGTCTTGTGTGTTTGTGTGTTAATATATTAGGGGTGGGTGGGCTTTGTGGCCCAGTAGTTAACAACCACTTGGAATGCTTGCATCCTATATCGGAGTGCCTGGGATTGAGTTCCACTTCTGCTTCTGGTCCAGTTTCCGGCTAATGCACTCACTGTGAGGCAGCAGACGATGGCTCAAATATATAGGTTCCTGCCATCCATGTGGATTGAACTGCAACCTCCTGGCTTCAGTTCATCCAGCCCCCACCATTGCAGGCAGATGAAAGCACTCTAGGCTCGCTCTCTCCTTTTCAAGTAAAAGTGAATTACTTAAAATAGTGGGGCTGGTAGTGTGGTATAGTGAGTTAAGCTACCACTTGTAACACTGACATCCCATATGAGTACCAGTTCCAATCCCAGCTGTTCCACTTCTGATCCAGCTCCCTGCTAATGTGCCTGGGAAAGTAGCAGAAGATGGCCCAAGCGCTTGGGTCCCTGCATCCCATGTGAAGACCCAGATGGAGTTCTTGGCTCCAGCCAGAGTGGCAACTTCAGTGGGAACCAGCGAATGAAAGATCTTCCCCCTTACCCTCAACCCCAGCCTGTCTTGCTTCCTCTCACTCTGTAACTCTGCCTTTCAAATAAACAAACACATCTTAATCAATTTAAAATAGTGTAGAATTTAAAAACTCTCATTTCACAAACTTAGTTTTTGAAAACATCTGTCTCTGATAAAAGGCAGGATCAACTAACTCATGGTAAGCATAATCTAATCAAGGAAAAGCAATGTGTTTGTTCATTGGCTTAAACATTTTTATTATAAAATGTGATATGCAGAAAATTAAATAAGTCTCCAGATGCATTTAAACATTTGTCTTTAAAACAAATGTTCTTATAACTCCATCAAATCATGAAATAAATCGTGGCTGGGAACGTGGACTTTCTCTTTCATTTTTTACCAGTTTTCATTAGCCACTCACCATATAGTTACCCTGATCTGTTTTTATTTTGTAGTTTTACTTACAAAATAGATCAATTCTGCCTGTTTTTCAACTGTATGTAAATATAATATAATTACTATTTTACAACTTGCTTTTACTTGGCTATCCATTTGTAAGTTTATTTAAACAAATACATATGTATATAAGTATTTGGAGTTTATTCAGATATATTTTAAGGTGTTTCTATAATGCTTTGTCAAATATGTTAAATAACACAATAGAAAAAATGTCAAATGACTTGAACAAGTACATTGCAAAAAATACCTTGTATATTCTAAAAAATACTTATTTTTGATTACTTTATGTTTCAAATACCTTCAAATAACTCTGTGAGATGTTTCTTTTCATATGATGTTTTTCAATGAACAGAAATTTCAATATTGATATAATTAAACTGGTCATTTATGTATTCCACTGCAATTTGTATTTGTTTATGACATACACTGTGATAGTGAATAAACTGGGATTAAATGAAAAATATTCAATCGAATGGGGGTATCTACAAAAACTCCTACTTAATATCATGTTTAGTTATTATAAAAGTTTGAATATTTTTCCTCAAAGACTGTGAACAACGTCAGAATGTCTGTTCTTGCCGTTCTTTTCAACATTGTATAGGAGTTTCTAGCTAGGTAAATTCAGCAAAGAAAAAAAAATCTAGATTGGAAAGGAAAAAATAAAATTATCTTTATTCAAAAATAAGTTGATCTCAGAACTGATAAATGAGTTCAGCAAGGATACAAGATTAATATATAAAAACATTTTTTGTCTATACTATCAATGAGCATGAAATGAAGAAAACAATTCCATTTACATTAGCATAAAAATAAAATTCTTGGAAGGATATTTAACAATAAAAATACCCAAGTTTTACACAAATACAAAACTTTATTGAGAGAAATTTAAAAATATATAAATAAATAGAATGGCATGCCATGTTTATGGATTAAAAACAATAATCTCTTTAATATGGCAATATATCCTAAATGATCTAGACATTCAGTGAAATTCCTATCAAAATTCAGGTACCAGCGTTGGTACTGTGGCGTGGTGAGCTAAGCCTCCACCTGTGGCACCAGGGTCCAATATGGACGCCTGTTCGAGTCTCAGCTGCTCTTCTTCTGATCCAGGTCTCTGCTATGGCCTGGGAAGGCAGTAGAAGATGGTCCAGATGCTTGGGGCCCTGCACCCTTGAAGGGAACCGGAAGAAGCTCCTGGCTCCTGGCTTCGGATTTGCCCAGCTCTGGCCATTGCAGCCATTTGAGATGTGAACCAGAGGATGGAAGACTTTTCTCTCTGTCTCTCCCTCTCTCTGTAACTCTACCTCTTATGTAAATAAGAGGCCAGCGCACCGCGCTGATCTGAAGCCAGGAGCCAGGTGCTTCTCCTGGTCTCCCATGGGGTGCAGGGCCCAAGCACTTGGGCCATCCTCCACTGCCTTCCTGGGCCACAGCAGAGAGCTGGCCTGGAAGAGGAGCAACCGGGACAGAATCCGGTGCCCCAACCGGGACTAGAACCTGGTGTGCCGGTGCCACTCGGTGGAGGATTAGCCTATTGAGCCGCGGCGCCAGCAATAAAAATCTTTAAAAAAATACTCAGTTTCCCTTTTTAGCTGTAATTGATAAGATCATTATAAAATTTGTATGGAAATTCAAGACCAGAATGGTCAAAATAATCTTGATGCACAAGAACATACATGGAGACCCCAATAGCTAAGACATGATATCAACCCACATGTTCATCGACTAATAACTGGATACAGAAAATGTGATATATATATACAATGGAACATTACTCAAACATAAAAATGGAATCTTGTCTTTTGCAACAAAATGGATGCAGTTGGAAACCATTATGTCTCATTATGTCTAGTAAAATAAACCAAACCCCAAAATGCAAATATCATATGTTTTCTCTGATTTCTGGTAACTAATATATAAAGTGCAAAAAAAGAAATTAACATGTTAAGATGTGATTGTTTATAGGCCTTGCTTATACGCCTGAAAACAGTGGTCTTTTTACTTATTACTTGTTGAATTATTTATTTAGTGAAAGATTAAACCTGTGACTCTAGGGTAAATTGAGTGTATGTTATTGCAGAAATTAAAATAAAAAAGGAATACAGAAAGAGTGAAAAAATGGAAATAAGGAAGGAGAATAGAGGGTGGAAATTATCATTATTTGTGCTTACAATTGTCTATATGAAATACATGAAACCTATCTATATAAATAAATAAGTAAAATATTTTAAAAACTTACTACAAAGCCACAGCAATTCAATATTATAGTATGATGCTGCTGTAAGAATAGAGATTTAGATCAACTAAATAGAACTGAGAATGTGCAAATAAATTTTTACATTTATGCTCAATTTTCAACAAGGATGCCAAAATCACTCAATGGTGGAAATAGCAACCTTTTCAACAAATGGTGCTGGGAAATTGGAATGTTTAGATTTAAAAGAATGAATTTGAACCCTTACCTCACACCACACACAAACCTAAACTGAAAATAGATCACAGTTCTAAGAGTAAGAGCTAAAACAACAAAACTCTCAGAAATAAGCCTGGCAATAAACTTAAGTTAGGCAATAGTTTCTTAGGTATTACACCAAAATTACAATGAACAAAAAATGGATAAAATTAAACTTCATCAAAATTAAAAACTTTTGTTCTTCAAAGGACTCTGGCATGAAAGTAGAAAAACAAAGCACAAAGTGGGTGAAAATATTTAAAAATTATGTATCTGATAGGAGACCTATTCCCATAAAATTTAAAGGACACTTATAACTCAAAGAAATATTTAAAAATATGAGCAAAGGATTTTGAAGAACATTTCTTCAAAGGAATATACAAATGTTCAGTAAGTACATGAAAAAAATGGCCAATATCATTAATCATTAGAAAAATACAAATTAAAACCACAAGAAGATATCACTCTATAATCCCTAAGGTGGCTTAAAACTCACACATACACAAACACAATAACAAATATTGACAAATTTGGCAAAAAAGTGAAATGGGGCTGGCGCTGTGGCATAGTAGGCTGGGCCTCCACCTGTGACACTGGCATCCCATATGGGTGCCAGTTCAAATCTGAACCACCTCCCTGCTAGTGCACCAAGGAAGGTAGGAGAAAGGCCCAAGTGCTTGGGTCCCTGCACCCATGTGGGAGGCCTGCAGGAAGCTCCTGGCTCCTGGCTGTAGATCGGCGCAGCTCTGTACATTGCAACCATTTGAGGAGTGAACCAGCAGATGGAAGACCTTTTTGTCCCTCCCTCTCTGTGTCTATAACACTACCTCTCAAATAAATAAATAAAATCTTAAAAAACAACAAAAGATTGAAACCCTGGGCCAGTGCTGTGGCATAAATTTTAAGTCTCTGCCTGTAGTGCCAACACCCAATATGGGCATGGTTCAAGTATTAGCTGCTTGGCTTCCAATACAGGTCCCTGCTAATGTACCTGGGAAAGCAGTGGAAGATGGCCCTAGTGCTTGGGCCCCTGCCACCCATGTGGGAGACCCTGAAGAAGCTCCTGACTCCTGGCTCTGGCTTGGCCCAATCTGGGCTGTTAGGCCATCTGGAGAGTAAAGTAGGGGATGGATCATCTCTGTCTCTCTCCTTCTCTTTCTGTACTTCTGCCTTTCAAATAAATAAATATTTTAAAAATGGAAACCATCAGATATTGCTGATAGGAATGTAAAATGTAGCCATGATGGAAAAGCAGCTTGGCAGTTGTCCCAAATGTTAAACACAGAGATACTATATGGTGCCAAAATTATACTAGAAGATAATCAGGGCACACAAGAAATGAAAGCATGCAGGTACACAAAAACCTGCTTCTATTTTTTTATAGAAGAATTATCCCCAAAGAGGGAAGCAACATAAATTGCCACCAACTGATGTATGAAAAAATTGATTATGTCATATCCATAAAATGGAATATTATACAATTGTAACAAGAAATGTATTACTGGTACCAGTTACTACATGGATGAACTTTGAAAATACTATGCTAAATGAAAGAATACTGTCACATACCACTCTGACCTCAGAATCAACCCTTAAGGCATTCAGATCTGGCGGAAAAGCCCATGAGAACATTTCAGGCATGGAAAGTCAAGACACTGTGGAAAAAAATTATCTACATGAAGGATCTCTATGAGTGAGACCCCAGTGGAAAGAAGGGGCCATCAAAGAAGGAGGTACTTTTCTCTGAAGGGAGGAGAGAACTTCCACTTTGCTTACGGCCCTGTCTAAATAATGCCAGAGTTTGTGGATTCAAGAAGCTTCCATAGCCTTGGCAACTCATGACAAGAGCCTTGGGTGATCACTGATGTCATAAATAAGAGTGTCAATTGTTAAATCAACAATGGGAGTCACTGTGCACTTACTCCCCATGTAGGATCTCTGTCCTTAATGTATTGTACTATGTGAATTAATGGTAAAACTAGTATTCAAACAGTACTTTATACTTTGTGTGTCTGTGTGGGTGCAAACTGTTGAAATTTTTATTTAATATATACTAAATTGATCTTTTGTATATAAAGATAATTAAAAATGAATTTTAATGAAGAATGGGATGGGAGAGGGAGTAGGAGGTCAGATGATTTGGGGGTGGGAAGGCAGGTATGGGAGGAAAACTGCTATATTTCAAAGTTATACTTATGAAATTTACATGTATTAAATAGAAGCTTTCTTTAAAAAGTTTTTATGGTTCCTTTTAATTGAGATATTTGAAATAGTCAAATTCACAGTGACAGAAAGTGTAATAGTTATAACACATTCTTTGAATGGGAGCTGAAAATCTAAAATCAAATAGTGGTTATGGCTGCACACAATGAATATACTAAAAATCACTGAATTTCACTATTTAAAAGAGTAAATTTTATGGTATGCTGTTTGTGTCTTGATAAGGATGTTGTATTGAAAAGTAAATCTTTCAGGGCAAGCACTGTGGCATAGTAGGTTAAGCCACCACCTGCAGTGCCAGCATCCCATATGGGTGCTAGTTCAAGTCCTATCTTCTCTACTTCCAATCCAGCTCACTGCTATGGCCTGAGAAAGCAGTGGAAGATGGCCCAAATCTGGGCCCCCCACACTCATGTGGGAGATCCAGAAGAAGCTCCTGGCTCCTGGCTTCGAATCGGCCCAGCTCTAACCATTGCAGCAATTTGGGGAGTGAACCAGTAGATGGAAGACCTCTCTCTGTGTCTTTCCCTCTCTCTGTAACTCTGCATCTCAATAAATAAATAAATCTTTAAAAAGAAAAGTGATCCCTGTTAAATATAAGAGTGGGAATAAGAGAGGGAGGAGATGTACAATTTGGGACATGCTCAATTGGACTTGCCCCAAAGGGTGGAGTTAGAAATGTGCCAGGGGATTCTGATACAATCCCATCAAGGTTGCATGTACCAATGCCATCTCACTAATCCAAGTGATCAATTTCAGTTCACAACTGATCACACTGATAGGTCTAAGAGTCAAAGGGATCACACAAACAAGACTAGTGTCTGCTAATACTAACTGATAGAATCAAAAAGGGAGAGAACGATCCATCATGGGAAGCGGGATACACAGCAGACTCATAGAATGGCAGATGTCCTAAATAGCACTCTGGCCTCAGAATCAGTCCTTAAGGCATTCGGATCTGGCTGAAGAGCCCATGAGGGTATTTTAGGCATGGAAAGCCAAGACACTCTGGCAAAACAAACAAACAAATAAAAAACAAAACAAAACAAAACAAAAAAAACACAACTAAATGAAAGAACTCTGTGAGCAAGATCTGAAGGGAGGAGAGAACTTCCACTTTGACTATGACCTTGTGGAAATGAGATCGAAGTTGACGAACTCAAAAGGCTTCCATAGCCTTGGCAACTCATGACTAGAGCCTAGGGAGATTACTGACGTCATAAACAAGAGTGTCAATTGTTAAGTCAACAACAGGAGTCCCTGTGTACTTACTTCTCATGTGGGATCTCTTTCATTAATGTGTTGTCCAATGTGAATTAATGCTATAACTAGTACTCAAACAGTATTTTACACTTTATGTTCTGTGTGGGTGCAAACTGATGAAATCTTTACTTAATATATACTGAATCCATCTTCTGTATATAAAGATAATTGAAAATGAATCTTGATGTGAATGGGATGGGAGAGGGAACGGGAGATTGGAGGGGTGTGGGTGGGAGGGAAGTTATGGGGGGGGAAGCCATTGTAATCCATTAACTACTTTGGAAATTTATATTTACCAAATAAAAGTCTAAAAAAAAAGAAAAGTAAGTCTTTTTATACACTCAGGTTGAAAGGTCATTCTCTTATATTTGTATACTCTGTTCTAAAACTTTATAGATTTGCCATTTGGTATTCATCTCTTGCATCTAGCTGAAATTGATTTTTGTATATGGCATAAGGCAAGAGTTCAATTTAAATACTTAGGGATTCTACTTCCTTTTTATTTCTGTCAATGAAATACCTCATACTCTAGTAGTTTATTACTATCAGTTGAAACGTTGAGACTCCCTCCCTTTCAGTATAGATCCTCCTTCCAACTGAGGGCTGCATAGGCAGTAGAAGAACTGTAACCTGGGCTACAAATTGCTACTTGAATCCATTAGAATGCTCAGAAATAACTTTGCACACGTTACGAAAATAGGATGGGGGGAGTCTAGGTACACCTTTGCTTTTTGTTGGGGGCGGGTAATTAAAGGTTCTGGCAACAACACCCAGCAGCTTCCAGAAAAGTAATTGCTTAGGGCCACTCTGTGAAATCAAATGACCTAGATGAATTTTTGTTCTGTCTGAGGATGGCATTTGTAGAGTCTAGCCAGGTACTCGCCTCCAGGGCTGTCATATTTTTCTTTAAATAAAGACATCTCTTTCAGAGCACAGCTTGTCCTCCTGCCTGCACGGTTTGGCTTCTTAGTCTGGGCTGGCTATATTTTGCCTTTTCTTCCTTCTCCTTGAGAGAGGCGTTTCTAGTTTCTACAGAGAAGCAGCTATGGTTTGGAGGGGTATGCTTTAACATTAGGAGAGAAGAAAGTAAATCAGCTCAATCAGTCTCCTCTCCTTGCGGTGACTTGCAGATGGATCCTGTCCTCTCAGCCCCCGTCGCCTCTCCAGGCGCACCTCCAAACAGCAATGATGATGACAGATGATGTGCCAGTGCCTCGCGGCGCCCATCCGTCACAGGCAAATTCAGTTCTACGCTGCCTCGCTTGTGCTAAATGTGGCCTCTGAGATTGGAGTTTGGCTGTGCTCCAAGGCCCTTTTCTGGCTTCTGTCCTGGTGTTTTTATATATGATCTGCAGGTGTTACTGATCTAATTTGTCCAGGAGTTATTTATGATGTAATGCCTAGATTCTCCTGTGGTCAGTGTACCATGGGAGAAAACCCTAAAAACGGAATGACTGATGACATAATAAAATAACATCCTAGAAATAGCTGGATGTGCCTGTGACTGAGATGAGAGCATATGGATATAACTGATTTAGACTTGTCTTTGAGAATTAATTTAATTTAAAGTGAGAGATCCAGGCCAGCATTTAGCATCAGACATACGATTATAATTTTAGAATTATGACGAGATGATTTCATTTCTGTGTGCATTTTAAAGGTAAAGTGTTTTAAAGGAAATAGAGGAAAGTCTTAATGATCTGGAGGAGTAGATGTTATGGATTTAAATTGAGGATGAATTTTACTCACACAGAATGAAAGAGCGTTTTCCAAAACCATTGTGTTGAATTGTGTACTCACAACATCAACTGTTCCTGCCTTGCTCTCACAAACCCAACCTAAGTGATGGATAGACAAGATGAAGCTATGAGTCAGTAAATGTATAATATGATTGTGAGATGATTTGTATCATAACTGCTATAAGTTACTTCACTAGGGGACTTAAACATATTTGCACTTATAATAAAATGCCCCTGATTTGTTTGTAATAAAACCAAAAACAGGAGGAGAAAAGGGTCTACAGAATTCTGAGGTTAAGGAGACTGTGGCAGCACCTATCCTTGTTATATAATGTCTGCCCTTTCCAAAGACCCATGGGGAGGTTGGGGAAGACTCAGGGAAGCCAAATTAAATGCAATGTTCTAGAAAATGAGCCAGAGCCTTAGGCTGAGTACAGATTCTTTTAGTCTCAAAATAGCCTGCCTTTGCACTCCTTTCATTCTCCAGCTAGTTTGTAGACAAAAATACATCTCTTACACAAACGGCTTTCCCCACTCAAAAGACTTTGGGTATTCCCAGTTGTAACGACAATAACGGAGTTCACGATATGTGATGCCATGGTGCAATTTCTCTATGCTATGGATTAGAAAATATTTTATATGAATAATGCTTCTTTCATTTGCTGCAGCCTGAACTATTTTCCATGTATAATTTTCTAGATCTTCCCACAAATCTTAGGTTAGCTAGGGTTTTCCTTGTTTTGCATATTTGAAAGCACTGAGCTCAGAGAGGTTGAAGGGTTTTTCTGGGTCCATACAGCTGGTGAGAAGTCAAGTAGAGATTTGCCTGAAGATCTGACCCATTGTAACTGTTGTTTGCACTATACAAACAATTTTATGAACAATAAACAACATTTTTAATCTGTATTCAGTAAACAGGCATGCCACACTATCTTAGTTAATATTTCTGTTGATGCTGCTTCTGTTTTATAGTTTGAGGAACTAAAACACCAAAACCAAGGGCACTGAGTGAAGCACCAAAGTTTATTCAAATAGCAAAAGGCACAATTTGGACCTGAATGTAAGTTATCTTGATCCTCATCTCTGGTGCTTCCTCTTCTAAAACTCAGTTGGCTACAAGACTGCAGATTGGCAGGCAACTTTAGATACGTATGCAATTCCCAAGTAATAAATCTCGCTGATCCTTCAAAAATAATCAAAACAATTAAAAAGAGGAAGTACTTAGCAGATAAGCAGCACTGACCAAAAGTTTCTTCCCTTTGCTAGTTGAATTTAAGCTTAATTTAGTGTTTGACTTTAGTCAAGGATCACTTGAGTGTCTTTTTACAAATTTATATATTTTCATTTAGATTTGAAAGAGAAGAGAGAAGGAGAGGTTGAGAGAGGGAGAGAGAAAGAGGGAGATAGAGAATCTTTTATCTGCTGGTTCTTTCCTAAATGCTCACAACAGCTGGACTTCAATCCAGGCCTCCTACATGGGTGGCAGGGACCCGAGTACTTGAGCCATCGTTTGCTGCCTCTCAAGGTGGTCATTATCAGGAAGCTGCACTGGAATAGAGTAGCCAGAACTTGAACCAGGCACTCTGGTATCTGATGCAAATGATCCCAAGCAGTATTTTAACCACTGAGCCAAATGCCCACCCCAACTGCATTTTTGAGAAAGATCTTTCCTCAAAGGCTACATTCCTAAAGCAATGCATTCATGATGAAACAACAAAGAACACAGATGAATCCATGGCTCTAAAATATTTTAAGTTTCCTATATGGAATAAGTAAAATTTGGAATAAAGACATTTGGTTTTAGCAAATTAACTCCCTGGCATAGACAGCACAACTGCACAGACCTGTACCTGCCAGGATCAATATTTACTGGGGATAACAGTGCAGTCATAGATGGCCCATTGAGAGTGAGTATTTGTTCCATGTCCAGATTTTTTTCCAACTGTTGGGGTGTATGTGAGTGTGTGTGTGTGTGTGTGTGTGTGGAATAGAAAGAATTGAATACAGTAAAATTATAAAGTGAAAGAGAGGAGAGCAGATCCTCTTTGAATATAATTTGAGGGGTCGGTGCTGTGGCACAGTGGGTTAACGCCCTGGCCTGCAGTTCCGGCACCCCATATGGGTACCAGTTCGAGACCTGACCCGGCTGCTCCATTTCCGATCCAGCTCTCTGGTATGACCTGGGAAAGCAGTACAAGATGGCCCAAGTCCTTGGGCCCCTGCACCTGCGTGGGAGACCCAGAAGAAGCTCCTGGCTCCTGGCTTTGGATTGGCAGAGCTCCGGCCGTTGTGGCCAACTGGAGAGTGAACCATTGGATGAAAGACCTCTCTCTCTCTGTGTAACTTTGACTTTCCAATAAATAAATAAATCTTTGAAAAAGAGAAAAGAATATAATTTGCACTTGATTTTATTTCTCATCCTTTCCTGAACTTGCTAAAAATGTAAGGCCAGCGTGCAGGTGTTTGGCAAGGTGCTAAAGCTGCACCCTGGGATGCCCACATTCCATACTGGAGTTCTCAGTTCCACTCCCAACTCTGCTTCTGATCCCAGCTTCCTGCTAATGCACAGCTGGGCCCCTGCCACATACATGGGAGACCAAGATTCAGTTCTTGGCTCTTAGTTTTAGCCTGACCCAGCCCTGGCAGTTGCAGTCAACTGGGGAGTGAGCCAGAGGCTGGAGAAATTTCTCTCTGTATGTCTCTGTCTCCCTACATTTCAAATAAGTAAAAATAAATAAAAACTTTAAAATAAATAAGTAAAATTAAAATGTAAGGCCATTGTTGACTTACAAGTTGTCAAATTCAAACAGCACTGTCCTTTATTTGCATGTAGTTTTTTGAGCTTGCTAATCATACCTTTCATGTTTTGACCAAATGCTTTTGCTTTAACTCCTTTGTGTGTATTTCCTCCTTCCTAATCCTCTTCCTATACCTATTAATCTATGTATTCCTTAAATGTTCTCATTTCCCCCCAAAATAGATAATATAAAACTGTATGTTTTAGGACATAAATAAGTCCAAATATCAATTGTAGCAAAAATTGTGCATTATATGAACTTCTCTGTTTAAATCGCATCCTCTTCAAATAAAACAGAAACACTATAAATTAAAGGAAAATGCAGATTTGTATTAATCAACTGCTAACAAAAAGTAGAAATTTCCAGGGCAGCATAAAAATAGATTTACAGTAGTAACTATTGCATAAATTATTATATTAGTAAAGATAAAATGTATGAGGAAAATAGCACTTTTCACAACAAGTGCATTTAAAGTATTTACTTGCTTGTTATATGAACTGACTGCTTGGTTAGAATGTAATCTTCACATGGCCCAAGGCCTTGGGCCCCTGCACCTGTATGGGAGACCTGGAAGAAGCTTCTGGATCCTGGTTTATGGACTGGCGCAGCTCTTACCATTGTGGTCATCTGGGGAGTGAACCAGCGGATGGAAGATCTCTCTCTCTCTTTCTCTCTCTCTCTCTCTGTCTGTCTTTCTGTAACTCTGGCTATCAAATAAATAAATAAATAAAATCTAGGTGCCGGTGCTGTGGTGCATTGGGTTAACGCCCTGGCCTGAAGCACCAGCATCCCAAATGGGTGCTGGTTTGAGACCTGGCTGCTCCACTTCCCATCCAGCTCTCTGCTGTGGCCTGGGAAAGCAGTAGAAGATGGCCCAAGTCCTTGGGCCCCTGCACCAGTGTAGGAGACCTGGAAGAAGCTCCTGGCTCCTGGCTTCAGATCGGCACAGCTCTGGCTGTTGTGGCCAATTGGGGAGTGAACCATCGGTTGGAAGACCTCTCTCTCTCTCTCTCTCCCTGCCTCTCCTCTCTGTGTAACTCTGAATTTCAAGTAAATAAATAAATCTTTAAAAATTAATAGATAAATAAATAAATAAAATATTTTAAAAAAGAATGTAATCTTCGCAATGGTAGGTATGTTGTTGGAAACTGAGAAGTTATACAACAGAGTGGAACACAACTGCAGTGAAAGGTCTTAACTCAGACTTTGAGTAGCTAAGAAAATGTAAAGAGATAGAGTGAATAATATAATTAACAAATTGACTTATTAAATACATCTGAAATGACGTCTTGTAACAAAGAGATGACTGCTTTATTTAACGAGGACCTATTAAGCACCTGCTAGCTGAAGTCAGCAAAATACTCCCAGTTGGTATTGTGATCAGGTACAGCGAGTTGATTCTTGCCATGAGCAAATACAAGGTGGCAGATTCCCACAATGCACAGATTTACTCTCTCTCATTCTAGCTGTTACACAGCACTGTGTTATGCTACATTTCAAGGCTGAGTCGTTGCCTTTCGCTTTTGCCCATGTCATAGAAGTGTGTTCATTCTCACTCGGACTTCTCTTACAGACAACCAGAAAAGAGCCACCCAGCCAAAGACAGAGTTAATCTCTCCACCTGCAGACATGCTCAAGAACTGAGCTGCAAGGTTGTGGCAAGCCAGGGCTGGCAGACTGGTTCTGGCCTTTATCAGAGCTGTGCTGTCAAAGCCACCCTAAGGGTGTGATGCTCCTGCCCCATCTCCTGGGAAACCAGCGCCCTTCTCTGCAGCTGCAGGAAAGCCCCATGTCCTCACTTAGCAGGGTAGTAGTGCCTGGGATTGCCACTCTGCCGTTGTCTTCATCTATCCGTAATGTAAACTAGCTCTTTCCTGTACCCTCAAATCTTGTCCTGGGTATTTTGATTCAGCCCTGGGGACAGGGACTGAGCTTTCAATCGCACTAATACATTCGGGAGCCTGGTCTGGTCTAAAGGAGACTGAATTTCTTTTCTTTTCTTTCTTTTTTTTTTTTTTTTTTTCATAAAATGGCCTGATAGATGTATTGGCACCCAAATGAGAAGACTTTCAGATGTGGAGAGTAATGTATGTATAATGCCAATATGAGAAAAATGCATGTTGTAGTGTATATATATATATTTATTTAATATTTTATCTGAAGGGCAGAGAGAGAGAGAGAGAGAGAGAGAGAGACTCCACCTGCTAATTCACTCCCCAAATGTTCCCAATAGCCAGACTGAGATAGACTGAAGCCAGAAGCCTGGCAGTCAACCTCAGAAGCTGGATCAGGAACAGAGCTAGATCTCAATCCCAGGCACTCCAATACGGGATGCGAGCAGAGGGTGCAGCATTTTAGCTGCTGCACCAAACAGCCATGCCATGAAGTGAATTTCTGTAAACTTGGGGGGAAAGATCAGGAACGCTTTAAACCAAATTGCCGACAATTGTCTTGAGGGAAAGAAGACTCATGCCGCACTCTGTGTAAGTGTTCAAGTGGGAGGATTAGGTGATCATAAGCACAACTCTAAGCAAAAACAAATTCCACTTAGTAAATGTAAAAACTCAGGAGTAAAGACAGGTGAAAAATACAAGTAAATCAAGTGAATGGAAGAGAAAATGATAACGAAGCCCTAATCTAGGGTGCCACTCTAAAGTGGCACGTGACATTTAACAGGCATGCAAATCATGGAGGAATCCTGTTGAACTCTGCAGTAGAACTCAATAGGTCTAGACTGAGGCTTGAGGAGAGCAGTACTAACAACCTCCAGTGCAAGGACTATAATTTGAGGAGCAAAGTCCACGTGACTATAACAGACGGGTGGAGTTGAGAGCCTCTGAACTAGAGGGATGGGAAAGCAGTGTCATCCTGTGCTTCCCCTGTTTCTCTTTTCCACCTGACAACCCATTTCTCCTCTGTAAGTCTCTGCTTGTGGAAGACTTCCAGATCAGCCAGGCACAAAGATACTCCCATTGTGTTCTTCCAATGTGCCCCAACGACAACATTTCTCAAACTCAGGTGAGAAGAATCCTCTGAGGCTATTAACAGCTATGCAGCTTCCTAATCCGCACTACAGAAGGAAAGACTCAGTTGGCCCAAGATGGTCTGTAGAAATCCATGATTTCTAGATACGTACACGTTTCCAGGAAGACTGCAACCAAGCGGTCCTTGGATCTAATTGAGAAGCCTGTTCTATCTTCTCTCTCATCAGACATTTGGTATATGAGTTAAAAAATGAGTGCAGGCTCCTTCCCTCTTTTCTTTAGTGATTAGTAACACTCGATCTAGAAAATACGGATAAAATAGAAAGTATGGGAACAGAGAAAAAAAGTCACTTGTCATCCTACCAACGAAAAGTAAATATTTTTAACTTCTAATGTATTTGGTTCTGATCATTTTCCTGCTCATTTTGTTTCATAGGCTCAGATCATACTGCAAATATTCTACCCCAAGTGCTTTTGGGTAAGAAGAAATAGTAATGGTGCTTTCCATGGTCCATGGCATTGTTCAATTCATGTATTGTTTTTCATTAAATATTTATGTATTTATTTGAAAGGCAGGGTTACAGAAAGGCAGAGGCAGATAGGAGAGAGAGAGAGAGAGAGAGAGAGAGAGAGAGAGAGAGAGAAATCTTCCATCTACTGGTTCACTCGCCAAATGACCACAGTGGCTGGAGCTGGGCTGATATGAAACCAGGAGCCAGGAGCTTCTTCCAGGTTTCCCACATGGGTTTAGGATCCCAAGGACTTGGGCCAAATTCCACTGCTTTCTCAGAAGCATTAGCAGGGAGCTGGATGGGAAGTGGAGCAGCTGGGACTCTAACTGGCACCAATATGGGATGCCAGCACTGCAGGCAGCAGCTTTACCCGCTATGCCACGGCACTATCCCCTCATGTATTGTTTTAAAAGTTGAATTGGACAACTATTCAAATGTTTACCATTCTACTTATTCTTTGACAGTGACCTAATTTGCAAAAAAAAAAATATCATTACCTGTATTTTGGGATCTTATATTTCATTTATTCAATTCACATTTTATCTCTTAAAAGGCTATTCCAAGTAGAAAGGACTTCTTATTTCCCTTAAATTTGGAACTAAAATCTTTCTGGAAATAGCCATGTTCATTGTTATACAGTTAAATCACACTGAATTTTATGAGTTAGACAAGGGTGATGTTTTACTTGATTGATCTCTTGTCAAAATGCTGTGTGACGATGTTGACATTTTGCGCAGCAGTATTATAAGGAAGGTACATGCATTTCGAGCACCTAGTATTACCTCTTTTGTCCTTGAAAAATCTACCCAAAGACTTCATCTCTCTCTTGCATACTGAAATCATGTTGTCGTCTGTCACTTAGCAAAGTACAGAGGATGAGCGAAACGTGACTATTTCTGTGACAGCAGTACCCCATTTTATTCTTGTCCATTCTTTTCCACCTAGGATATTAAGTCAGTAATAAGATATTAGGTAATTACCTCTTAAAACTATTTATTTGTTTGTTTTCATTTGAAAAGGCAAAGAGACAGACATAAAGACAGAGACCTTCCATT